TTCTAAATCATACTTCAATTAATGATATCGTATCAAATATAGCCATGCTATTAAATTCAATGAATGTATGGATTGCAGGTAATGCAGCATTAGTACTTGCAAGAGTAACTATTGAAGGAATTGGTTGTCATCTAATACTTACACATAATAAACATCATGAAATATTAAATCAACTTTTAACTGCTCTTGATATAAATGATGCTAATCGTTCAACAAATCTTGCTTTTACGATTGCACGTTTAATTGAAGAAGAAGATGGAAAAAAAATCTTAATTAATAATTGTGAACAAAATCATTTTGTAAGTCAACATATATCATTGTATATTTTTGTAAATCTTATTTTTTGTTAAGTTTGAAATATTATTAAAAATGTTAGAAATAAATCCAGATAAAAGTATAAATAAAAATGCTTGTTATGCATTAAGTTGTTTATGTACAAGTCAATATGGTTATCAATTATGTATTCAATCAAAAATATTATTCTATCAAATACTTGTTGCTATTGAAAAAATATTATTATCCTATGATCATGAAACAGTATGGTTTGCTTTAATGTCTTTAACATCAATTGCTAAATATGATGGAGCTAATGAATATTTATGTTATTCGAAAAATTTATTAAAAATAATTAAACTTCTACAAGAAAAATGGATTGATTTTAAAGATATTCAAGATGAATCGAAGCTACTTTGGTTTATGTTACATAAACATATTAAACCTAATCAACCAAGAATTGATAGTATTCGAAATACATCTGTTCATATTTCTTGGGATTCATATATGAATAGTTCTAATGAACAGGATATACAATATTGTATTCTACTTGGTAAGAAATTTTCTTCTTTTTTTGTGTTCAAATGAAATATCTATAGATTTGATTATTTTTGAGATGATGTACCGATTAAGATAACACGTAAAACAAATTATTTATTAAATGATTTGAAATCAAATGCATTGTATAATGTCAAAATTCAATATAGAACAACACACGGTGAAAGTATGCCTAGTGATGCAACTATATTTCAAACGGATGATGAATGTAAGTTATATATAGATGTTGAAATAGGATTGAAAATCTTACGTTTGTAGTAGTAATACCATCCATTATCAATCTTCATGTTGTTCGTACAGCAATGACAGCAGTTCGTATAGCTTGGGAATCATTGGATATCAGTACATGCCATTCTTTCAAAGGTTATCAAACATATATAGATGATATTGAATATGAATTTACAACTCAATGTGGAATAACAATTGGTTCATTAGCAATTGATACAATATATAATATTAGTGTATGTATAGTAACTATGAAAGGGAAAGGACCTTGTTCGTCGATTAATGTAAAAACAGATTCTGCTGGTGATTGTCTTCCAGCACCTCCAACATTTCCAGTTATTGGTCGACGTGAATTACATATCAAATGGCAAGCACCAGAAGTTATTTCTGGTCGTTTTTCTCGTTATGAACTTATTTGTAATGGTCGATGTATTTATTCGGGTACAGAGCAAGAATATCATGCAACAATGCTTAAATCAAATACAGAATATACAATAGCCGTTGTTCTTATCACTAATGATGGTCGTTTTCGTAGTCGAACAGTAAAAACAAGAACATTAAAAGATGAATGTTTGTATATTTATTTTAATTTGTAAATATAGTTTTTTTCCTGTCTTTTAGTTCATAATTCACCTCGTCATTCACTTTATGAACCACCAACACAAAGTCAACTTAAATTAAAACGTATAGATACATTTCATGTTCGAAAAACATCATCAAATCAAAATAATCAAATTCCTACTACTCGTTTTGTATAAATAAATTTTCTATTTTCTTTTATATTGTCTTCTGTTTTTTTTAGCCAAAAGATTCATCTTACAAACAAACACTACCCGTTATATTTCAAAATTCAAAATCACGTCCTAGTCGAAATGTTCATCGATCAAAAACCGAACTATATTCACAACAAATAACAGTTCCTATTATTATTCCTTCACTTAATATTAATCGTCCTCTACAAATCAATCATTTAACACAATCAAAATCAGTTGAACGCTTATTACCTCATTTACCTCGTAGTTTGCAACGGATTAGTTAACTGATCTTTTCTTATTTACTTATAAGAAAGAAAACTTTTATCATCTAATAAATAAAATTCATGTGACTATATACAAGCCGAAAGCTACTCGTATCCTCAATAAAATATTAAAAGAAACAGAAAACAATCTTATAAAGTTCATTTTTTTATTATTAAGTCATCAAATTAACGAGGGAACTTCAGTAACTAATTAAAAGGTTTAAACTCATATTCTGACTATAAGTAGACGTAGATGAGAGTGTGAGAGTCACGTATTACGTTTATAAGAAATGATAAATGAAGAAAATATTATATGTATATGATTTTACTTCTTATTTTCGAAATAAGGGTGTGGGTGTAGTTGCGAAAACAAATGAATAGTTACGCACCCACACCCACCCTTAGACAGGTATAGTAAATTTGAACCCACCTGATAACCACTCCCTTAAACAAGGACCAAATGATCGTCGTAAGTATATTCATATTAATCTTAGAAACTCGAGGTCACACCCTCAAGAAGATGTGCTTATTGTAGCACTAAGGAAACAAATTTTTGATCCAACATTGAGTGCTTTACTAGCAAACTGTCATTTTGTTTAAAAGATGAAAGGAATTGTTTTTATTGATTATTATAATCTTTTTAAGTAGTCATTTTGAATCAAAATAAAATAAAGAGGTTAAAAAATGTTGTTTTCGGTTAAAAAGAAATTGGTTCTCAAAGGGTTAATCGGATTCTTGAATATAGAGAGACAGAAAAGAGATGAGTGAGGTTTCGGTAAATGACAAAAAAATGGATCTTAACAAGGGTTTAAAGTTTTGATTTTCATTCGATCGCCTTAATATGTATCAAAGATGGCTTGCCGTTCGCGATGATCGGTGATATTTCCTGCAAGTATCATCATCAGAAGTATGCGTGCTTTCCATGGACGGAGGAGTCCGCAGGTGAGAAAACCGAGTGTATCATCCTCCACAGCGCCGTTGTGCATCACGTGGCCACTAAGTACTCGAGACGATCGCACGACAACTACGCCTTGATTTACTGCACCGACTACTGCCTCTTGCAGTGCCTCATGCATCGTTCCATTGCCTGTGCCTGCAATCACAATGCCCTTAACTCCCGACTTGACGAGTGCGGAAATCACCGAAGCCGACGGTTCCGTGTAACTCATAACGATTTCCACCTTAGGCATTTCTGATTTCAACAGCTTACAACTAAATCGGCTGCGTGTGGTGTGCTTGCGTTTAACACTGTATTGAAACTGTACTTGGTTGTTGGACACCCACCCAAGCCTGCCCGCTACAGGCGAACAGAATGTTTGAACGGCAGAAGTGTCCGTTTTTGTCACAAAGCATGCACTGTGAATCTCATCATTCATGACAACCAGTACGCCTTGATCGACCGATAATTCACTTCCTGCAACGAACACAGCTTGGTACAAATTCAGAGGACCATCGGCTGATAGTGCAGTTGCGGGTCGCATCGCAGCGGTGAGCACGACGGGCTTCCGGCTCTTAACTGTTAGATTCAAAAAATACGCTGTTTCTTCAAGTGTATCCGTGCCGTGCGTGATGACAATACCATCAACAATGCCCATATCAGTGCCAGTTTGAAACAGTTGATTTACGCGGTCCGCGAGCTTTATCCATATACTGGTTGTCATGTCCTTGCTATCAATACTCGCTAGCTGCTCGGTTTGAATGCGGGCAATGTTTCTAAGGTCCGGCACAGCATCCAACAAGTCATTAACACCGAGTGCACCTGCTTGATACGTTGTCGTATTCGCTGCATCAGCCCCTGCACCAGCGATTGTCCCACCGGTGGCTATCACAACAATATGTGGCAGCTCCTCCTGAAACAAATAGAGATACCGTAATAAAAACATGAGAGATAAGAGTGAAAGTTTTCTTGTTATTCCCACCTACACACACTCAATATCTACATTCTCAAAATAGAACTAGAAAAGTTACCGAAAAAACAATCAACCTAACGGAAATTTCATGAGAATTAGAATAATATCGTCTTTAAAAATCAATTTGTCTCTCATTCTTCATCAGACACCACAGAATCTAGTTGTATCAGTGCCGAATCAACATCACATTTCTAAAGACCAAAGTAATATCATTTTTATGCCCCTCACAAACGCATGTTTCAACCATGAGTCTTGCTTTCTTCTTGTTGTAAAAATTCTGCAGTAAACAGGCTATATATAGCTCAAATATTGTCCATAACATCATATGATCTAAAAACCAGGTTATTGGGATATTTGTTCATTCAGTCAAATATTACTGACAATAGAAATGTTTACGTTGTAAGTCAATAAAGTTAGGCATATTCTGATAAAATTAAAGACCTTACCACCAAATTAACAAACTTAAAATATAGACTGCTGTTGGTATGCCCAGACTGAGATATTTGAATTTTAAGGTATTGTATGTAACGTACTTACAAATCAAAACTTCAGCAGAATTATTTTTTCTTTTTTTGTCATAGTTAAAGAATTTCAAAGAACTGTTATTTTCAAACATAAAGAAGCAATAAATTCCAAATTCTCATTTTCGTAAGATTTTTTTAAAATTTTTTGATATATTTTTTGTAATGCGACTCGACCAATTCCATTTATCTTTGTCAAAAAAAGTAAAACGTTTGCTGAAATTTTGATTTGCTAGTAAAACCTTTCCAATATTAGAAGTCTCCTCCTGAAGGATCGATATAAAATATGTATTAGAAGCTCCTTCATGTTATGAACTTTTTGACAATCTTAGTTAGCATATTCCATCGTAAAATCATCAAAATTCAAGATCTTAGTAATAATTTGGTAAGTTTTTATATTTTCCAGCGTAAAAATCTCGAATGCTCTCGAAAGTTGTCTTAAAGCTATAAAAATACTAAAAGTCACTGGAATATTTCGAAAGTAGATTTTACATCTAAAAACATCGAAAAACTTTAGAACTTAATTGAAGCCTACTTCGAAAATTTGGAATGGTGTGCAATTTAAATGCTCCTGGGGATTTTTAATAGGGTGAGGGTTTACATTACATACACTGTGAATACCTTAAAATTCGAATATCTTCGTCTAAGCACGTCAACAACAACTTTTATTTAAAGTTTGTTAGTTTTATGCGGGAGCTTTAATTTCATCCGATTAAGTCGAACATTATAAACTTAGAACACGAACACCTCCATTACAAGTGAACAACCAAAAAATGTTAAAAAAAGATGAAAGCTTAAAATCAATAGTGAAATGCTTCTTTAATATATCACGCATCCATGACCAATTAATTCTATATTATGTTTGCTCTGCTGCAGCTTTTTCTAAAGTTCTATGACGACTGAAGTGGTTTTCTTTGTAATGGAATTCAGTTGAAAGCGATGCAATTGATTCATTTTCAAAATCAGCTAAATTTTCTTTGCCTGATCGTGTACCAAATTGGATTAGAGAAAATTATCTAACTGCTCAACCTATCACACTGACCTACGAAGGGTGTGGTGTCAGCAGAAGCATGCTTGAGTAAAAGCTTTCGTGACAAATTCATTCGGCTGTGAACTACGTTCCATCAAAAGTCGAATTAGATGCTAGGGGAGCTCTACGTAATAGGCCGACCAATTGTCAGAAGGACGCGCGGTGATACATACTGCGTGTATTCTGAATTCGACCCTGATAGGAATGAACATACTCGGCTCAGTCGAGACAGAATCTCAAAGTTTTATCGACTGACTACTTTTTCTTCAGATTTATTAAAAAAGGTTTATATGTGTAGATTTCATACGTACTTTATCACTGATTTTCTTTGGCTTTGGCCGACGCCCACCTTCAAGACGAATCTCGTCGTCTTCTTCTTGGCTGTAACTGCGTAGCAATTGTGTTTCTAGAGAATAGCCTTCCACTTCACCAGCATCTGAAATGAAATAAACAAGCTATATTGACTCATTTACAACAAATCAACGAAGAATAAAAGTTGCCATCTGTACAACATATGAATTACATACCAGCAGTATGTTCATTTTTCTTGGAGAAATTCTTTGAATTCGATAGTCAGATTGGCTATCGAGAGTCGATACGCGTAAGAGTGGGTATGGATATACCTACTTTATCTTCGCCCACACCCACACCCTCAAGATGGTTTTAAGAACACGGTGCCAACAAAGATAAAAAATTCAGTAGTATAAAGTGTGAGCAGTAAAATAAGATAGAATAGAAGAAAATTCCTTATGCAAGTGAAAGTTGAAGGAACAAACTGTGCTACCTCAAAACAATCATATGATTAATTATCTTTGTTGACTGAGCATGATGATAGCTTGACTAAAACTCTTTAAAATTACTATCTGGTTCTCAATGTTAACTTTCCGAAAATGCAATCGATACTTACTCTAGCTCACCAGCCTGTTTATCTATGTGAATAAGGTTAATATATTGTGAATTAGTTTGTTTTTTATGTTCTATATGTATATATGTTAAAACAATACATAATTCACTTAGTATCTTAAACCTGAAAAAAAAATATCAAAGAAAATTATGCGATAGAGTGATCAGAACGAACCTGAAACGAGAAAGGGTCGAAGCTGTTCATCTCTAGTCTGTCTATAGTGCATGCAGTATTTCGTTGGCTTGCTGCTAAAATCGAAGATTTAGCGCTTTTTCAAGTTGATTCTAATAAATTTTTTCACAAAAGATCGAAGCTAATGCGAGAACAACGCAAAAATAAAGCATACTTTAAAAAAGTTTATTTATACGTCGTTCGGTAAGATTTTACGTACTGATGAGAAGGATGTGTCAAAAATTAAAAAAGCCTCTGACGTGAGAAGATTTCAAATTTTTATATTTTTCATGTCGAGAAAGATTTTTTTAATGTTTTTTCTATACACTATTTGAAACTATGTGTGAGGATGGTATATCGTTTCACTGATCAATACCATGGTATATGACGAGAAGTCAAAGGTTTCAGTTTTTGGCTTCCAATATTGCTTTGTTGGCTGCAATTTTTGGTGAATTATACCTGAATCATCACTAACGTTCCCAACA